AGCTGCAGAGAGGGGCGTCAGCCCGTCCGGGGGCCGGCGGCCAGCGGGCTGCCACCTCGGGCGGCGCGCACCTGCTCGTGGATGCACTTGAGGTTGGTCAGCCGGGCCTCCCAGAACTCAAACTCGACCTGGGGCAGGGGGTTCAGCCCGTCCAGCAGGGCCTGGGCCGAGTCTTTGCTCAGCACGTCCCTGATCTGGTGGGACCAGTCGATGACGATGGTCTCGATGGCGTGCAGGAGCGCGTTGTCCAGGGACGAGATCCTGCGGGGGCTGGGCGTGAGGTGACCAGCCAGGCGTGAGGTGACCGGCCGCGCGGCCCTGCCGGCTCTGCCTTGGGGTGGTCCTGGCCTGCCGCCCTCGGCCAGCCGCTGGGCACGGACGGCCTGCTGCCCCTCCGGCTCGTCTGGCCGCCCGGGGTGGGGCTGGAGGACCCCATGGCGCCCACCACGAGGGACTCTGAGCTGACCACGGGGTGGGGGTGAGTGCCCCCGAGAAAGAGGGGCAGGCCGGCTCTGGAGTGGGGCACAGAGGAGGCTTTTCCCGCAGTTCTTGTTAGGGTCACACGGGCCACGCGTTGGGGGCTTAGTGAGAGGCTGGGCCACGCGATGAGCCCCCAGGAGTGGACGGGACAAGTCACCCTCACAGCCCCACGGCCTGGGGCAGTGGCAGGGGCCTCCCCAGGCTCCTAGTGCCCCAGCCCAGAGCCACTTGCGGCGCGGCAGGCGTGTTGCAGCGCACCCCCCCACACACCGTGCCGCGTGCTGCCCGGCCCGGTGCAGGTGTGGGCCGAGGCGGGGCGCAGCGCCCCCAGCTGCCCCAGTGCCACGGCCCATGCGGGCAGACCCCCCACCTGTCCGTGGACTCCAGCGGGCCGTCCAGGCTCTCCAGGTGCTCGGGGATGGGCAGCAGGGTCTTCCCTTTGATCTTGCCCCCCATCACAAACATCTCGTTCTTGAGCTTGTGCACCTGCTTCACGATGTCCTCCGAGACCACCTGGGGCCACCCGTCCGTGTTTTCGCTCTGGTTTAGCAGCGAGTACAGCACCTGGGAGGAAGTGAGCCCTGGTGCCACCCGCGTCCCGCCGGCTGGGCGGGGCCTGGCCTCCTGTCCGGCGGCGACTGCCCGGCTCGGGCCACTGCGCGGAGGGCCTGAGCTCACACTCGCGGCTGTTGGGGCGAGCTGTGAGCCCCACACCCACCCTCCCAGTCCTGCCCCCCACACCTCAGGCGCACCTGCCTGGAGGTGGCCTTTCCAGATGCGGCGACGAGAAATGATGGGGCTGGACCCCGCACCGGAGGCCGGTGTTCCGGGAGAAGATTGCCCTGACACCCTGAGGCGCGAGGCCCCAGGAGACCCACCCGCCCCGGGCTGTGGGTCTGCTTCCTGCACCCCACTAGGGCAGCTGCCCTGGCCCGGGGCCCTGGGCGCAGCCCCTGGGCTTCGTGCCGGCACAGGCCGCGGAGAGCGCCCCCTGCTCAGATGGGGCGGTCAGTGCGGAAGCCCAAGCCAGGACCTTGTCTGACGGCTCAGGTGGGCAGCACCTGCTGACCTGTCCAAGCATCTGTCCCTCATTTCTGAGCCCACGGCTTGGCCGGTGGGAAGCTGGTCACTGGCGTGGGTATGGGCTGCACCTTCTTGGGAACAGCCCTTCCTGAGCCTCCCGCTGGGGGCTCCCCCTCTGGTGCATAGCGCCCCCCGGTGGCCAGGCCCTCCAGTCCCTGGGGCGCCCTTGGTGGGGCAAGAATGCAGGCAGGACCCCGCCAGGACAGGAGGCCCCGCCCCCACCAGGAAGGAGGCCCCGCCCCCGCCCCGGACAGGCCCCGCCCCAGGAAGGCCCCGCCCACGCCACCTCCTCCACTATGGCGATCAGCTGCTCCACGGGCGCGGGGCTGATGTCCCCGTAGATGAGGTCCTTGTAGTTGTTCTTGGTGATGCCGCTGGGCTTCTTCTTGAGGAAGTAAATGCCCTTGGACTTGAGGGCGGCGGGGAAGCCCAGGCAGGGCACGATGGCGCCCGAGGGGTGCAGCGTCAGCACCAGCACCCGCGCCTCGGGCTTGTCCAGGAACTCGGTGAGCAGCGCCGCGTTCTCCTCGACGCCCAGCATCTTGCTCCACTTGTCGGGCTTGACCTTCAGCAGGAGGGAAGCCACGGCCTCCAGGTGCTCCACCCTGGCGTCCTGCGCCAGCGCCATGCCGCCTGCCACCTGTCGCGTGGGCAGGGGCAGCTGCAGGCCGGGGCCCCTCCCACCACCGCGCCTTTGGGCCCCTGTTCTGGGGGGAGGGCGGAAGGGGGAGTGCCCGCCCCATGCTGTCCGCCCCACAGGGGAGGAGGGGCACTCCCTGCCCCCGCTGCGGGGGCTGCCCTGCCCCGCGGGGTGGGCT